AAAAAAAATCCGCTAAAACGTAAGGGGGTTACAGATTATTAGCGAATATGAGAAAAAATATACTCTTAAGGAGAGACAACAATAACCCGGTCTTTCGAACAGAAGTAGACTTGAATATCCCTTGTCTTCCATTCAGGATTGGGTTTCTTTCTAAAGTCTGTTCTTTCCTTCTATTTAACTTTCAGTAGTCACTTGCTTCTTAGTGATATTATCGCCTCACATGAGGTGGATTGATTAAAAAAGAACAATGATTAAAAATGAAGATAACGATTGACATTGTGTTTAAATTTTGGGGGACCAAAGTTGAATGGAATGCAAGAAGTTGAAAGAGTTTCACAGGCGAGAAGTGCAATAGGAGGAAATATGGTTACATCTAGGCATTTCAAATATAAAATAATATGAGACCTTGCCGCCAACCTAGTACTCTGCTTATATTCATAATATCTAAGTACAATGGAGGAAAGTTCATCCGAATAATTATCATGAAAATATTTATAGAAAAGGCATCAAGGAAGTTACGTTACAGCAGATTGAAAGTGACTGAAGCCGAGATGCCAGGTCAGAACGAATAACTTTGCATATTCTTTGTATTCATTTATTTATTTGAAAATTCTTCTTTGTACCTGAGTCCGAAAGAATATGTGAAAAAGAAAACATTATTAAGGATAGAGAATAATAAAAGAATTAAGAAGACGGAACATAACGATTGACATTGCATATAAAGTTTTGAAGATCAAAGTTGAATGAAAGCAAGAAGCCGGAAGGGAGAATTACGAAAGAAGAAACTGATAGCATAGAACTTGCGGTTATATCTAGTTATTTCAACTGTAAAACAAGGAGACCTTGCCGACAGTCTTTTATTGCGCTTAAATACATACAGTCTACGTACCATAGAGGAAAGTGATATTTATTCTATTTAATACAGAAATGTGGCACATGGCCGAAGGTGGGGATTTGGGAAAAGACGGTCTTGTTCTGTCTTAACTATAACTTAGCTAGCCACAAACGTTGACCCAATCGCACAAACAATATCCCTTACACCAAAACAACACATTCATACGTACCTTTCTTACTACAATCACCATAATACCTCTTTGTCTCTATGAAAATACTAACTAGTCCCCATATTTACAATTCATTGTCTGTGGGGCAGGGAAATAAAACAACAATTCTAAAAAACTAGCCCCAATGTGTATTTACAATAGAGGAGAGTTCATCAGAAAAATTACCATGAAAATATTTATAGAAAAGGCACAGAGAAGCTACGTTACGGCGGTAAGAAAAGGACTGAAGATGAGATGCCAGGTCAGTTGTTATTTCTTAAGCTTAGCTTAGTTTTCGCATAATCTATCAAGTATGTGGTACCGAGTGAGGGTCGAAATCTTTAATAAGGATTTTGGAGCTTAGCTCGATGAAGTGTGTCATATCCAGATTATTGTTACCTCTAATTTTTGGTTAACCAGTCTATATATATATATAATCTTTCAGTATTATGTGCCGTATCTCTTTCCGGTGTGGCAGATCATGACTCTCCACAACTTCCTATTCTTTGTAGCTCTGTTTGTCTTTCTATTATTGTTGCAAAAATGCTTTCAACATTATTTCTTTCCTTGCAAACAATGTGTTCAGTTGATACGCAGCCCAATTCCACAACGAAATAAACAAATCGCAAGTCCAAACTTGAAGATCCAGAGGCAGAAAGAAATGTTGAAATCACAAATCGCTGATCCAATGTCACAAATCCCGGTAAACGTAAACGGTCAGAAATCACCACGCAACCCGACGGACGAGGCAGAAAAGATCAAAACGACTTCCCCCCCCACCAATTCGAGAACACTAAGCGGTTTAATCGACGGAAAAATCTTTTCCTTGGTCAACAGGTGGGAGAGGACACACGGTATTAGATTATCCGAGATGCATTCATGGCAACACCTGCGACTGATTTGTTTTTATTTTGCTTATTTTGTCTTCGATATATCGTACAGAACACACGTGCCTATTTTCTCTTTAAGTAACGTCCCCGTTTCGTCACTATAATCCTTCCCAATCCCTGTTTTCTTCACTCATTTACACAAATTCTTTATGTAGGTTCTTCGCTGTTTCCTTCTGGTAGGCTTACCATCAGCAGCTCCTGTGAGGGTCAAATTTTCTCAGCCTTCTTATCGAAATAAAATTTCCAAACTGTCTATTATTTTTTTTCGAGGATGAACTTAGTGATGAAAGACGTGTATTTATTTTTTTATTAATCTGGTATTTTCTTTTAAGTCCCATCACCCACAAGGGAAAAAATTTGGCTATAAATTTGATACTCTATCTTCATACCCTCTGTATGTTTTGGCTAAAAGAATGAACTAGTATGCATATCACGGTTTATATGTGAAAATCTTTAATGACAATGAAGTTAATTGCAGACTCAATGAGAAATGTATGAAAGGGAGAAAAAGAAATTAAACTTATATCACGTCTGGTGAATTATTTAAGACTAAATACAATGGCGACACGAACAAGAAAGAAAAGAAAGTCAGCTTCTAACGTGTAGCAAAGCTTTCAGCTCGTCTTACGATCTGCCTTCTTTGACAGGAAATTGATTTCCCGTCAGAAGTTATGTAAATAGTAAAATCTTTAAATTATTGCGATTTTATTCTGCCATTCACCTTAAAATATATTTTTAATCTATTTTCTCTTTTCTTCGACTACATTCTGCTCGTATGAAAGCACAGATGTGAAGAGATGGGCACTGATGACTTTAAATATTCCAAACCATAATCCAAACGAATCGAATAATAGAAAAACAGCGTTCTTACATTACCTTCAATGTGATTTGGTGGGGGCTATACTGAGGACAAAGTTATTCATATTATGGATAGGAATGATCTTGGAAAAAATCACCATTCTTTACCAAATGCACCAAGGATTAGAACCTTTCCAAAACAGAAACTCAGTCACTTATGTGCCATGCGTGATACATGCTTATGCAGATTTTTTTCTCGCTGTAGTTTGCCATTTCCTTCTGTGGTAGACAAGTTTCCATCCAAGGCTATTTGCCCATAAGTGGCTAGAGAAGATTCATACCTTTCCCAAGTTGATTATTAGCACGTAATTGAATGTAATGGATTCGACTGGAATTCGAACTCGGCTCAACCGATTCCTCAATCGGAGCCACTATCCATTGCTCCACCGTCCCTCCTATAAAACAGAAACTATGATCTGGAATTGGAATGAAAGCAGTGAGGATGCATATCTTGAATCCTTGGATTATTTACATTTTTCAGTCTATTATCCTCATTTTCATTGCCATATTCACAACGTTTCGGCCGTCTTCAGGTGATTGGAATTTCGAACTGAACCTTTTATTTCGTCCACCTGAATACGATGTTCTAATTCCACGTGCTATGCGTCTTCCGGGTGTTATTTCCCATTAACTCAACTGTCCAAGTTTTGTTTCACCACTGCTGTGCCCTGGTATTGAACTCACAACTCTTTGGGTCTAGTCACTGCTTCTAACCAACGTCTTTATTCACATGGTCCAGTGGATAAAGACGTTGGTTAAACCGGTAAAGGCAATGAAGATGAGAATAACAGTTCGAATAATGTAAATAATCCAAGTAATCGTAATATCTCATCTCAGGGATATAGACAGAACTTGAATCCATCATAAAAATTCAGTCGAATTAATGAAAGCTAAATACTTCAAATACCTCAGTGTATGGATGAGCAATAACAAATTAAATTTAGGAGTTAAGGAAATTGAACATAGAATAGGCTGTGTTAGGAGTAATTTCAGACATCACCGCAAGTTGCAGACAAGCCAAAACGTTTACGTAAGAAATCGAATCATCTTCGTAAATAGCCTTGTCATATCAAGATGCTGACATCGATGTCAAGTATAGCGCACAACACGTTCAACAATACCTAAACTATCAGCTTTATACAGCCATTTTAAAAATGATTCCTAGCGAATGAATCGTCTGGGTCATTAAGACGACTCGCCTTCGTCGGATTTCAGATACTTGCACGATAGACAAAGAATTTTATCAAGTAAAAGAAACCATATCGCCTGAAGACATTTAACAGCAGCAATAACTTTAATAGTTATCACATGGAACTGGAAGAGGAAATAATGACACAATAAAGATGTTGAATTTCCACGATTCGTCGAATAGAATGTTAGGAAGAAACCCCCACCCATTAATGTTAAAAAGTACAATTGCAGTTTATCTGGAAAACCTTTTTTCCTGACTCGTTGTTTTAAAAGAATTTTTTTATAAATTTCAACTGACAATAACTGTTCGGCCAATGATTGCCAAAGTTTCCTTATAAGAAAAAGGTTAATCTCACCATTACCATTATTGTGGATGAGAGTTCAGCTTGCTTTCATTGTCAGGAATAACTTTACAAATAATGCTTTTTGTTCGTTCTTTGTATGACGATAAACTACATCCGCGTCCAGGGTAAGACGATAAACTACGTCCAACAGCAAGGCCTCTGATAAGGAGGCTTTGAGGAGCGTGGAACCACCTCATAAATGCTGGTGTTCCCAGATCCACCCTGACCTGGGGTGGTATCATCTGTTAGGATCCCAGCTATGGGCAAATAGTTAACCCACAAACTGGGGTCAAAAGCATTATGAAAGTGTAAAAATAGGTTTTAATACCTGAAATAGTTTGTAAAAAAATTATTACCAGAAGTAAAGTTTTGAAGAAAAAAAAAATATTACCAACAATACGTTTTTGAAAAAAAAAAAATTACCAGATATACAATTTTGAGGAAAAAACTATTACCAGAAATAGATTTTTGACAAAACAAAAATATTATCAGGAAAAAAAAGTTGTCGGCATTAAATGGCCCATTGAGGTTGATATGCCGTAAAACAAAAATGAAACCAAATCAAATTTTGTAAATATTAGTTTGAGTCACAAATAATTTCCGTTTTTGTTTATCAGATTTATTCATAAAAAAATAAAGCACAATTATATTTTATTCAATTGTACATTCCCTTCTTGCGGCCAGGTCACGCTGAAACACTGGTTTCCAAACGATCACTTAAGTTAAGCAATGTTGAACCTGGTCAGTACCTAGAGGGGTGACTGTTTGGGAATATAAGGTGCTGTAAGCTTGAATATGCGGGTGGTGTAATGGATAATGGCTTTGTTAATCGGTGAACTTGGAATTCGTTTCCTTTGGAATGATATGAATCTACATCTTTTCTGCACATCTAAGTAAAACTTGAATTACTAAACCGTTATTATCTCCAAAATTCTTACAAATAAAAATATTTGGGCTTCATGTAACCTAAAAAGTGTTGATAAACCGTAAAGTGGAATAAAATCAAGTCCATTATATATTCATTTTATTTGCAATGATGTATTGCCATTTATCAAGCAGCTCTTTCACTCAAATGTCACGGGTTTTACGTGTAAATATGCGTATTTTCACGTTCAAATTAATTCTATTTTTTTTAATATATAATAATCAGGTGAATTTTAATAACATATTATAATCACATTATATATATATATAAAATTACTGCAAATACTCGCGTATCGTGCGACTTTTGAACCTCTAATTTTGAATCTAATTCTTAGTGGGTCGCATCATACATGAGATATAAAATTAGCGTATGTACTGCTGGTCTTGACTTCGTTGTTGACCAAACTATTTATCTATTTACAGTAGTCAAATTAGCTTCAAAATTATGTCTTCAAAGTTTGCATGATAAGCACGTATATCCGATATATATTAACAATTAATTATACAATTTATAATAATAATTAATGAATTTTAGTAATATATAATAATAATAAGGTGAATGTTAATAATAAGGTGAAGAAAAGTTTTCATTATTCACGCGAAAATGTTTTCGACAAACACTTGAAACTCATTTTCATCAGAGAAAGTTTATTAAAGAAAGTTTTCTCCATCAGGACCTTTTGCAGCGATCAAAGAAAAAAGGTATTAATCGGTTGGTGTAAGATCAGGTTAATATGATGAATGGGTTAGAATAGACCAACCGAGATCAAAACTGTTCCATGTCATATTCTTACTGTCTACGGCCTCGCGTTATCATGGAGAAGAACAAGAACGTCTCTCCTTTTCGACAAAACTCTTATGGACACATTGTGTATTAAATTTATGTTTTGGGTAGTCATGAGGATTCTAAGCGACTCGCTAGAAGTCGGTGAGGAGTTCCAGAGACTCGTTGATAGTGATGGAGTTGAATGGTGTGCAAATGACACTGAGCTGAAGTTTAGTTAGTGTACATGTATGTTGTAATCTTCGGTGCAGATGAAAGAAAGGCACTGAGTTCGACAATCAGTAGAAAAAAATTCTTAGTTACATTTATTCAAGTAGCTTTTTCACTTATTTTGATGAGTCTTATTTAATGCTACATTGAGCATTTCTTGCCCATTTTTAATTGTTCAAAGTTGATTTTCCGATAACAATCCGCTTTTTAACCTCTAACTGTAAAATAGTTTGATTATGAAGATCATTTGGCCTAATTGGTAAGATTACATCAATTATGATGCCATATTTATTTAATTTAATTACTATAGTTGTGCAGTTGGATATTAGAAGCGGTTATGCATTTCTGTTCAGCAGCATTGGCTGTATTTAGGATTGGTGTACTTTATTTATTATTTGCTTGATGCATTAAGGTTATTTAGTATATTTTCTTAAATATAATTTTGAGGGAAATTTCTAAACTTGATGACGATGAGGGGGGAAAAAATTGAACCTAATTCAAATTACTTAAGTTTTCATAAATTTTACTTAATATTTTAATCTTCAAAATCAATGCGAATTTTAAGGCTCAAAATTTGATAACCTTATCCTTCTTCTTCATAATTTCTTCACTTCTATTATTATTCTATTATCACGTGGGATATTTAATACAAAAAAAATGGTGGAAACGTGAGCAAAAAGAAAAGAAACTAAATGAAATCGGATGGACTATATACCTAAAACATATTTAAAAAAAAAAAAGAAATGAAAATTTTCATTGGTATCTTCGCTTCGTAACTTTGGAGCCTTCGTAAAACGTGGAAATTTTAAACAGTCTCGACGCTGGTGAAAGTTCATTGTAACTAATGGCGGAGGTCAACGTTGTATGATATAAAATCTTCCAAAGAAACTATTCCCCAGCGTTCATACCGTTACAATGAACAAGGGAATAAAAAAAAAACATGATTGTAATGAAACCTGAACTGAAATGGAAAAAGCTATTGAAATTGTCAGTTTTATGGAAAGAAAGCCAGCATTCAGCTATGACGATGACAATAACGGATGCAGAGTTAAAAAGTGTATTTCGTTTAAAAAATTCAAAAACAAAAGCAAAACGAAATGCGGAATAAGTTAAGAATGACATTAAAAGAGAAAGAATCATCATGCAACAGCGATTAAAGAAATCTTCGTTACATTATTTGCTTTGCATACGTGGCATATTTAATTTAATGAATTTTAACATTACATGGTTTATTTCTTTTCCTTTAAAATCAATTCCGTTATATTTCACTCATAATTAGCATATTTTGTTTATTATGAAACATTGAAAATAAATATTAAACCTGATTTCAGTTCTTTTATTTTAATCTAAATATAACCCCTCATATCCGAAACGCTTTCTTAGACCGGTTATCAGGTATTTTACTGTATATATAAAATATATTACAGATATCCAATCTTTGTTCCTTATCCTTTTTATTTTTTTAAGACCGGAACTGGTTTGCTGTCTTTCTCCTTCCCTGAAGAGTTATCATCGCCAGCGTACTGAAGGGACATGACATTAAAACAAAATATAGTCCAGAGAAAGTAAAATATAGTCTAGAGAAATTAATTAGATCTTCTAATTAAGAAATGCCTTTTTTTATTTATTTTTTTTTTCAATTTGGCGATTCGAACAAAATCACGGATGTTATAGCATCAAACAAAGGGCAAAAATAAAATTGTTTGTCTTCGAGTAAAATAAATGTTCATGTTATTTATTTGACCATGGGCGGTAAAAAAAAAAAACTGCAATAGCCAACAGCAACAGTACTTGATGAGAGACAGGAGCAGGAAGACTGGTTGATAAAAACCATGACATTTGTGATATGTACAATGATTTATCTAATGCCTTCGTAATGAAAAAGAAGAAAAGAAAATGTCTATAGTCTACATAAAATATCACGCGTATAACATCAGTGCAAACATGATTATATGTGAAGTAACTGAATGGAAAAAATCTATAAAATGTCTTTCGCCACCTGGAAGTGCGTCATTAAACTAACATATTCTTATATACACACACAGATTTATATATATGTATATATATATATATATATATATATATATATATATATATATATATATATATATATATATATATATGAGATAAAAGAACAAATAAGAAATGTTTATAAGTCTAACATGTTTACCTTTTATTAAAGCTTCATCAGAGAATGAGAAATGTTGAAAGAAATGAATTCTTACTTTTGTGCTTTTTGGATTTCATTGGTTAAGATGGCTTCATGACTTGTTAAGTAGCGTTTGTATAATTTCTGACGCTCTGAACACATGGAGAGGTGATGCTTCCTTAAAAAACAACAGATTCCAAATTTTCTTGAAAAAAACACCAATATTGCTTTATATACTTAATTGTATCATAATACTAGTTTAACTATGTGTCAATTCGGATGATAATCTATATTCGTAAATGTGTGTGGCTAGTAGGCATTATTTATGTTTGTTGGTTGTTCGCCTGTTGATTTGGAAACCTTTTTACGTGAACGCCTGCTTAACCAGTGGAAATCAAACAATACTTTTTGTAGACAAAAAACGTTTTATAGGATTTCCTTTTTTAAAACATTTGCGGGACAAATAAAATCCATACTTTAGCCCACCCATCAGGTCCTTCGAGTCTCATCAGAGATTCGACCAGGAAAATTACTTTAGAAATTTACATTTTTATATGTATTCTTGATCTAATTTTGACGCTTTAAAATATTTGCTTTCCTGGGAGGAGTTTACCTCGGAGATTTCTTGACAGATTCCAGCATGAAGATTAACTTTATTTTTAACCTTTTGACCTTCTTGATTTCTTGACAGATTCAGTATGAAGTTTAGCTTATTCTTTACCTTTTGACCTTCTTGATTCTTTCAGTTTCAGCTTGTTCAAACACCTGAGCACTTGTTGTGATGCGTTAGTAAGAATGGACCATTTGTATATATCTGTTATTATTATGATGACACGATTTATATTTAACGTAAAATATCACAAAATATGAAACTGCAAGAAGGAACAAAAACGGCTTTTATAACATCAACATTTATATTTATTTTTGTCTAATGAGATACATGCGTAGAAGTTTTAGTGTTATGTCCCTTTGACTGATTTAATATTTTTATCTGAGCTCACAAACGTTGAATGAATTATAAAGCTGAGAAATGCTGAATAAAGTGTAGCTTTAGAAAAGTATTTCAAAGAGAAAAGTTCTTGTTGGAAATGTTCTGTAAGTTTGTAATGTGGTTTGGAAAATTTCGTACGTATGTGCACGCGTGAATATGCTTTTAACTTCTGACCGCCCATGGTCAAGACAAGATCCTTGTAGAGATAAGAGAGAGAAAGAGAGCGAGAGCTCCTGTCTGCGATTTATAATTGATGTAACCACGTGACAGGCTCACAGAAAATTGGCGGGAAAATATGACTTGGTCACGCGCTGGAAACAATATCTGTATGTGGGTGGATTGCAACGCCCACTTGTGTGTTTGTCGAACAATTAGAAACTGATAGTTCCAAAAAATCTCTATGAAGCTGAATAAAATTCAATATTGATTATAAAATGGTAGCGAGATTGAATTAACAGGAGATAACTGATAACTGACATCCATTAAACATGCCACGTGGAACTAGAACAGTCTACCCCAGTGAGCGAAATAAAGGGTTCAGTTCGACATTCCAACCACCTGAAGAAGGCCGGAGCGTACAACAGCCGAAACGTTGTGATAAATATGGCGACAAAGATGAGGACAATAGGCCGAATAATGTAAATAGTGTACATAATACCTCATCTCGGTGATATAGACGGATACTGAGATAAGACTCTTATTAACAGTTTCAGTAACACGTCCATCAGCT